TGATTAGATTAGGACATTTGTGTACCTTTTATATTGTCGCAAATAAATCATAAGCACTTTTTATCCTGTTTCATATTTTGTCTCAATATCATTTTTTATATATTATATGAGTAACTGGATAAACTCCTTGGAATAAAATAGGTATCTCTTGAGTATATAAGATCACGATCATGAGGATTCAAGGATACCAGATGTTTATTCCTAATTTTATGTTCCTAGTCTAGAGACACTGAGAATGGGGATCAGTAATCTCAGGTAAGACTAGCACGGATTATCTACTTGTATTCAGATACAAGGTAAAGACCTCATGAGCTACAGATAGGGAGATGTCTTACCTAAAGTCGTGAGTGGACCTATAAGGGTATAGCTCGCACTGAACAGACCCACAAAGAGGCTCTATGAGGAAATCTCACAAATAGTATCATTAGAGCAGCTTCTTATTATTTGGGTATGTCTTTCCTTAGACCAGAAGTTTTCACCTAGACAATGTTCTAGATGCATGTTTTGATTGTATACCTCATCTGCCTGAAACATGGAGATTCATAGGTATACCTTTGGACATGCCTTGAAAGAACACAAGGTGATAAGCTGAAGGAATTTATCAAATCTCTGTGAGGGATTAGGTTATCTATAAACCGGAGAATCTATGCATAGTAAAAGAGATCATGAGATGATCTGCCTGTAGAGTCAGTAAATTGAAGATTCCCTATTTCGAATTAAAGCTTACCCTAAACCGCAAGGGTTGATACATCTCCTCACCCTAGGTTTAATGGGAAGGTAACCGAGACGAAAGGAAATACATACGGTAACCAAATACATTTAATAGGATGATCATGTCATTAACCTAACTAGCTCTGGGGAAACAAAGCATTGCTAGTGCTCTGTGTTGTCATTAAATGGGCTGTGGTTTTATTGGGCCCAAGTCCATTTATGTCAGTGGCTAAGTTGGGCCTAATGGGTCACACACTAACACCTTATTGTCTTGACATTATAGCATTAAAGGTTTTGGGCCTAATAATGGTTGTTAGCCCAAGAAGAAGTTTGGATACCCACCTTAGAGGGAAAAGGGCGCATGGATTGTTGTAATGGGCTTGGATGGTCCAAGACATTATTAATTAATTTAATTAGTTAAATTAATTATCTAATGTTTAAATTTAAAATTTAAAATACGAATTTGAATTTTGAATTTAAATATTTGAATATTTAAATTAGAATGTTCAAATTTGAATTGGCTATGAAAGGAAGTTTCATAACAAAAGGAAAGGATAAGATTTTGATAGTATCTTGTCAAGATCAAATCCCAAGTATCAAGAAGAGATCTTTAGACATCATCAAAGATGATTAGGGCGCTGATTTGGTGGCTTAATGATGGTCATTTAATCAACAAATCAAGCTCCATTCAGATTTGGTTGGTTGTGAAAATATTTGATTTAGTTGATTCAATTTGAATTGCAACTAATCAATATTTTTGGAATGATTTTGGGCTGATTGGGGCGCACAATATGGATGATCATATAAAGGTTATTAGGTCAGAACATTGACTAGGTGCAGACTTAGTTTTAAGAGGATAGGATAGAAGTTTGTTGACTAGATTTGATTTGCAACAACTCCACTCTTTCCTCCACAAAAGGGGCGCTCCATGATCAGATTTTTGGTGAAAAATCTGATTCAAATTTATTCCTCTTTCATCTCCTTATGTTTTTTCCTTTTTGTGATATTCTCCTTAGGGTTTTTGGAAAATAAAAGGCCATTCTCTTCTACAATTGGTGCGCTACTTTGTGTGAGTTTTATGGCTGAAAATTCTCTCATCTAAACATAATAAAACCGAGCTTCCTACCTCTTCACAAGGGGCGCCTAGCTTGCTCCTTTGTGGCGTTAGAATTGGTGGCTTTTCAAGAAGAGTTCTTGCGTCTTGACAAAGGGTGGTATGGATCAACATTAGAGGGTTTGAACCTTCAAGCCTAACACTGATCACCTTCGAGTTTTGAGTTACGAACAAGGTATCTCTCTGTCCTAGAGTATATATCTTGATTGGTATGTGTGTTTTCGCTTTGAAATTTTTTTTGTTTTCATCCTCACATGCCTACGGCCTTCAAGGCTCTATCTAACAGATTTCAGAAAATATTTTGCATAAAAAGTTTACTCGTATTTTTATAAGACACTTTATTTCTTTTTCAAATAAAGTCTTCCGCTGTGTATGCTAAATATCATATATGTTAACAACCGGAGTACTACGGGGTGTTACACTAGAAAAATGGCTACGTTCAGAATCCAAAGTTTGAGAATAAAATGATTAGCGGAGCTATTAGTGTTAATATCGACGCTTAAAACTTAATGAGACTATAAATAGTGGATTGCACACAACCCTAGGCTGATCCTCAGCCTCCTACGTGAGTTTTCTTCTGAACTTTGAGACCTCATTGCTAGCCACCTTCCTCCCTTCCTCTTGTGAGCCAAAGGGACCACCTTTCTTCAAGTTTTCTTCACCATAATACCTTGAGTGAGTGAGAGCTAGCATTGTGAGTAAGAAAGAGACTCCATTTCTGAGCGGTTGGCATTGTGTGAGGTGAGTTTGAGGGTTGACTTCTTAGTTTGTGAAGTGGGAGCCTTTCCTTTGGCCTTTGGAGCTTCAAGGAGCTTGTTGGTAGAACAAAGAACCATTCTTATGTGTCAAATTTGTGGCTTTGCAAAGTTAGATTTCTGGAGCTGCATTGAGAGCTCCAAGAGCACCCTTTTGTTCTGTTTTGAGCCTTTGGGGTATGTTCCTCACCTTTGATCATGAGTTTCTTTGATAAAAGTTAAGTCTTGGCATGTAAAAAGAGATGAGTAGGTAACCAACACCATCACTGACCTAAATGTGTTATAAGATGCATGCTTTAACGTTTAAAAGTGTTAAAAACGGAACCTTGGAAGAGATATCTCGCGAAAAGCAGAAATTGCTTTCTGTCGCGAAATATCCGGATATGATAACCGGATATGATAACCGGATATGATATCCGGATATGGATATCCTGATATGGATATCCTGATATGCCCCCGATAAATATCCGGATATTCTGGGAATTTCGAGTTGGGTACTGTTCTGTTCATACAGAATTGTATATTGGGTTTGTGGACCCATTATTGGTTAATATGAACCCCTGTAATAATTTAACTAAGTCAGAATCACTTAGATTAAGGGCTTACGGCTCTGGGAGAAGCCTAATGGCTTGAAACGAAAAAGGAAACGTTGTTGTTATGTCATGAACTATCAGATTATGAATGTTTATATGATTGCTGGTATAAACAGACTGTGAGAGTGCTCTTTGTGGACCTTGGGCGGTTGTGGACTCTTGACTTTGGATTGTTAGCTTGCGAGGTAAGCTTTCGTGTCCTCGGTTTTGCCCATTGTTGGTTCCACCATACCTCATGGAGGGATGGTTTATATGCATGATGTGTTTTTATGAAATGCTATTGAGTTGTTTTATTAAGTGCAAGTGCCTTATGATATGTATGTGGTGTTCCACCTAGACGGTAAGCCTGAGTATGTAGCGTTATACAAGATGGTGATTCTGTGGGTGGGGTGCAAGTGGCGTCTTGTACCGTAGGATGTAGACGTATGTAATTCCTACATGTTTATACTCTGGCCAATAGGATTCTGACACACATGACATGATTATATGCTGCATTGCACATATTTTGGAACTTATACTGTTTTACTATTTTAGAACTTATATTGCACATGTAAGTGAGCTTAGGGTGGAGAGATCCTTGAGGACCCATTGTCTTACTGAGATTTCTTTTTAGAGGTCTCACCTCGTGTTGGGGCATATTTTTAGGTTCAGGTACCTCAGGGGTTGATACCTCTGGCGGCAGGAGACCGTAGTTGAGTTGAGATGCATGCTATTTTTACTGCTATGCCTGGATGCTGTCTATGTTTTATTTTCATTATATTGTTATCTATGTTGAGACATTGTTTGGGCTTTGTTGCCTTATTTGGTGAGCATGGAGGTTGTCCATGCCACATTGTTTTGACTTTGTTGATTTAGACTCGAGTTGTATAATGTATCAGGATACTGTCCGGTCTACGTGTTGTAGTTCCGTGACTAGATACACACTTATATATATATATATGAGGTTATTCAGTTAATTATTTATTGCAATTTACATACAGGCTATATTTTAAAAGGTGTAAGTAATTAACTTGGTTAATAATAATGACGTCATAATTGAAAAGAAAAAGTTAGCTTCCGCATTTATTTAACTGCGCCATTACCATTTGTATGTTAATACACCGAGTGCACATGGGGTGTTACATTTTATGGTATCAGAGCACTTTCTAGGAAAAAAGCCTGTGTATTGCCATAACTTAGGATGCTTTGCTGTGTGTTTTGTCTGTTGTATTCTTTTGGGATTTACTATGATGATGCATGTGTGACCATATTGTGTGGGCCTGATCAACTCATTCATTGTGTAACTTGTGCAGAATCATGGTACTACCTCGGAGGAACCGAGAAACGAATGAGGGTCAGTTTGATCCTGTCCTGGCTGCATTGGCTGAGATGCAGGCGGCACGACAAGCCAACTAGGAGGCCATTAGAGTGGCCAATCAGGCTATGTTGGACACCATGAGAGAGGCTAACAGGAAGGCTACTGAGGATGTGCTCGAGGAGAATCGCCTGTCGAACATGACCATGATGAGGGTCATGTTGGAGGAGATAAGGGCTGGCCGCAATGAGGGTCATTTCCCTCCGCCACCACCTCCACCACCGCCGCCGCCTCAACCCAGTCATCAGGGTGGTCATGGAGGGGGTGGGGCACATGCTCCGGAGGACGACAGTCAGAGTCATATGGAGGGTGTCAGTCATGTCACTGGGATGATGCACCCCTATTTTGAGCCAGCTGAGGACAGAGACACTATTGACCATCGGCTGAATGCTTTTCGCAAGAAAAAGCCACCTTCTTTTGATGGATCTTATGATCTAATTGCTGCTGCAAGATGGCTCCAGGCCCTGGACAAGATGTTCAGGGTGATGCAATGTACGGATCTGCAGAAGCTGATGTTTGCCACCTATATGTTGGAGGGAGACACTCATGAGTGGTGGACAAATACCTCTCAGGTGTACGAGTTGCAGGGTCATGTTATCACAAGGCCATTCTTTGAGGACTTATTTCTGGGGAGATATTTTCCTTGTGATGCTCAGGAGAGGAAACAAGGAGAGTTTGACCGATTGGTGCAAGGCTCGAAGACTGTGGACGAGTACTCGGCAAAGTTCAATGAACTGGCCAAATTTGCATATTTTCGTATTGCCATGCCTACCCCGACATTTCTGTCTTCTAAGTTCCGTAGGGGACTTAATGAGGAGATAGCTGATAGGATAGTTGGAGCGGCATCCAGAGATTTTGGCAAGTTGGTTCAATAGTGCCGCGATATTGAGGACGTTTGCATTGTGAGCAAGGCAAAAAAGGCCAAGATATCTGAGGTAAAGGGAACTGGTAGTTCCGCTTCCTGGAGGGACAAGAAGTTTGCAGGAAAAGGAAAAGGGAAGCAGTTGGCTGCTAGACAAGCGCCAAATCAGTTCAAGAGGACTTCGGCTAAAGAGAGTGCAGCTAGACCTCCTACTCCCAGATGTACTAGATATGGGAAATTTCATGTTGGGTCGTGTGCTACCGGCCACATTATCTATTTCCAGTGTGGCAAGGGGGGCCACTATTCCAGGGATTGTCCTTCTTCGGCTGCGAGAGCTGCAGCGGTTCAGGCGATTCCATTGCAGATGATTCTTACTGCACCTACAGCGGCACCTGTTGTGCCCCCAGCCACTGGTCGAGTGTATACATTGGATCGCCAGCAGTCGAACAGAGCTTCGAACCTTGTTAGATGTACTATTTCCATTGGTGGTTCTACTGTTGATGTACGTTTGATTCCGGGGCTACGCATTCCTTCATTGCAACCCCGATTACTGTGGGGCTTGAGTTGCCCAGTTTTGTGCTTTCTCCACCGTTGCGGGTTACTACCACCACCAGAGAAAAGTGTGATACTTCTTCTGTACATCGCGATATAGCGTTTTAGTGGGATGGCCGTGAATATTCGATAGATCAGATAGGATTGCCGATGGCTAATTTGGTGATCATCCTTGGCATGGACTGGTTGTCCAAGAATTGTGTGATGATTGATTGTTGTGCAAAGCGAGTGGTGATGTCTCCATGTGATTCCACTGCTAGTTCCTCGCCTTATATTTCAGTGTTGCAGGCTAGGAGAGCCTTGAGAGCAGGGGCATTTGGATATGTCATGTTGGGAGTTTAGCGAGTGGGACACAAGAGGATATCACTGGCATTCCTGTGGTGAGGAAATTCCTCGAAGTGTTTCCTGAGGAGATTCCTGAGTTTTCGCCACAGAGGGAGGTAGAGTTATCCATTGATTTGTTGTCTGGTTTGGGGCCTATTTCATTAGCTCCATACTGGATGTCTTCACCAGAGTTGGCAGAGCTGAAGAAGCATATTGAGGATCTTTCGGCGAAAGACTTCATCCGACCGAGCGTGTCTCCATGGAGAGCACCGATCATTTTAGTGAAAAAGAAAGATGGGACCATGCGATTGTGCACTGACGTGTGCTGTCGAACCCACGCAAATTACCGAGCTTGATTTTGTAGTGAAAGGGCAACTCGGATCGTCTCCCAAAGAACCTGCTTAAAATCAGAAACGTTCTGTAAAATTAAATATAAAAGGGAAGGGGGGATTTTGTTGATTTAAAATTTAAATAAAAACAGAATGTAAAAGATGAATTTGAAATTGTAATTAAAAATAACCAACCTAAGGCTATGATTCCTAGGACGTCTTTCCTCGGATAAAAAGATATCAGAATCGTGATTGATGTCAATTGAATCAGAATCCTTATTTTCAATTGAGAACCCTCTCTAAGCGATCGCTTAGTGTTTGATCAAATACGGTGCTTCTACTCATACAACCGCAGAGTATCAGCCCGTTTGATTTAAGGTCATAGGGTCAATCAATCTAATCATCAAATCTAATGATTAATCCCTTTCCATAATCGCAATCGCGAACCTCAGATTGAATATCCACAATCGCACGATATCAATCTGAGTTTGGAAGGGAAACAAATCTGATTAAAGAAAAACACAGATCATCAAGACTAATCCATGGAATCCGCTACCCTTAGGTTGATTCTAGGGTTCTTAGCCTCGCATGGCTAAGGTAAACATAATTAAAAATTAAAAAAAGAATAAGAACACAAGATGAAGAAGAAAAATGAAATTTAATTGAAAACTCAGAGAAAATTTGCCAATCGTCAAAACCTCAAATTCTGACTGCCGAAGGATTTCTTAAACTTTCCCTTAAATAGCCGTCATTCAGAACGGTTAGGGTTTCACCACTTCGGCCCATACATAAAATAAAAACTGAATAAAATAAAATAAAATAAAATATTAAAACACGACCTTGGGCCCTAAACACATTGGGTTCTAATTAATTTACAAGTTCAAACGTCAAAATAAAATTCCAGCAAAAATACGTCATCTTGGGCTCAGGTTTCGACCATATTTCCGTCCGAATTGGACTTCAGTAGATGAAATAACGATTGTAGCCTTTTCTGTTAGCTCAAAGGAGTCAATCGGATATCTGTAGAGTGAGATATGGTCAAAATACGAAAGTAGTGTAAATCTGAAAAAATATGACGAAAATCAATTAAGCCCAATCAAAATCTAGAATTATGATTTGACCCAAAAGACCTTTATTTAATTCAAATAAATCATAAAAATACCAATCAAGAGTAATAAATAAGTGTATACACTTGAAAGGTCACCAAATTCCTAAGAAAATTTGGAGTGTAAAATGGTGATGCATCAAGAGCCCGAAGTCTTGAAAGGTTATAGTGGTTTGTCAAGCACCCTCAAGCTTGATAGTTAGTGAAAGATTTGATCAAGCGGATTCAATCTGGACGTACGTCACGGTGGTGGTGACCGAATCAGGATACATCTAGTTTGCAATTTCTCTAACCTTAAACTCCTTACTTTAATATTGAAATTGCATTTTTAGATTGTGTTTATCTATTTGCTTGCTTAATTTATTGATCACACACTTGCTCTCACACTTAGATTTTTCCTTATTAAACCACTTTATTGAAGAAACACTCTTTAAAATATCAAAGGAGACACTTTGCAAAAAGATTTTGTAAAACTCAATTCACCCCCCCCCCTCTTGAGTATTGAAGCCACTTGTCCAACAAACCTGTTAGCAAGATTCAGTTCTTATCTAACATGAAGATATTGGAATGATGTTAAGCATATATTTAAATACCTTCGAGGAACCACTGATATGAGTTTACTTTATTCAAATGATTGTGGACATCAACTTGTTGGTTTTGCAGATGCATGATATTTATCTGATCCACACAAAGCTAGATCCCAGACAGGATATTTTTTCACAAGTGGAAGCACAACTATTTCATGGCATTCAATAAAGCAAACTATAGTAGCCATTTCTTCAAACTATGCAGAGATAATAACTATTCATGAGGCAAGTTGATAATGAGTTTGGCTAAGGTCAATGACGCAACACATCCGAAAAGCAACAGCACCAATGGAAATAATACCTCTCACAAGATTCTGAGCTCTGTCCGACTGCTGGCTGTAACACCTCGTGTATACCCAGTTTGTTAACATGTCATCGTATTAAGCCACGCTTAATTAAAAATGAGAAATATTTTTTTCTTTTCAATTATGACGTCATTAAAATTAGCCAAGTTGATTACTTAATCAATTTCATAAAACATTGTCTGTATGTAAATTGCAAAAGACAGCTAACTGAAATACCTCAATAGATACATAAGTGAGTATCTAAGTCACGGATCTACAACACGTAGTCCGGACAATATCCTGATACATTAATACAACTCACAGCTAAAGGCATAAGGTCAAATCAATGTGGCATGGACAATCCCCATGCTCATCAAATAAACAACATAATCAACAGAGACTCATCTCAATAATCCATAACATGAAACTAATAGCATAACATCAACAAACATAATCCAGCATAAGCAGAAATATCAGCTAAGCTCCGGCCTCCTGCCGCTAGAGGTCTCAACCTCTGGGTTACCTAAACCTGAAATAAATGCCCCAAACGTGGGGTGAGATCTCTAAACAGAAATCTCAGTAAGGCAAGGGGTCCTCAAGGATCTTCCACCCCAAGCTTACTTACATGTGCAATATAAGTTCCAAAAGCAGTAAAACAATATAAGTTCCAAAACAGTGCAATGCAGCAGATAATCATGTCATGTGTGTTATAACTAATCTACTGGCCAGAGAGATGCAGCAATACGTCTATTAGCCACACAGTACGCACTCATGTCGTACCCGCCCACAGGATCAAATCCTGTCTAGGCGAACACCACATACATATCATAAGGCATTTGCACTTAACAGCTCAATCGCATTTCAATAAAACAATACATGAAAACAACACCATGCATATAACCATCCCCCCATGAGACATGGTGGAACCAACAATGGCTAAGCGGAGGACACGAAAGCTTACCTTGCAAGCTAACTATCCAAGCCAAGAGTCCACACAAGCTCAAAGTCCACACACAGCAGAATCACAATCTGTTTCGGACCAGCAATAATATCAATAATCAAACACAACAAGCATAAGACATAAAAAGAACGTCTTTCCTTTACGTTTCATGTCTTTAGGCTTCTCACAAAGCCATAAGCCCTTAATCACTTTGATTCTGACTTAAATAAGTTATTACAGAAGTCCACAGTAGCCAAACTTGGGTCCACAACCCTAAAATAGCATTCTGTGTGAATAGTACAAATATTGTTCTCGAAAACCCAGAATATCCGGATATATGTCGGGGCCATATCCGGATATCCATATCCGGATATCACGAAGCCCATATCCGGATATCATATCCGGATATTTCGCGACAGAATGCAGTTTCTGCATTTCGCGAGATATCACTTCCAAGGTTGGGTTTTTAACCCATTACTACGTCCAAGCATGCATTTTTATTCTCGTTTAGGTTCGTATACATGTTGGTTACTTGTTTAACTCATTAACATGTCAAGACTCAGCCTTTAAAAAAGAAAAACTCATGATCAAGGTTTAGAAACTTACCCCAAGCTCAAAACAGAACAAAAGGGTGCTCTTGCAGCTCACCAAACTGACCTACAGTTCAGACTTCAATGTGCACAAAAATGGTAATCAAAGGTTGGTTCTTTCTCTTCAAAGATCACACCCTGAAGCACAAAATGCAAGAACAAAGGCTCCCACAACAAGGTTCATGAACTCAGCCCCTAAACTCCTCAAAACATAGACCCAAAGTTCAGAAACAAGGTCTCCTACCCACTCCCAATGCTATGTCTCACACACACAAGGAGGTTTGGTGAAGGAACCAAGAGGAAAGGTGGTCTCTTGGCTCACAAGTGAAGGGAGGAAGGTGATGGCTGATGGAGAACACAAGGCTTCAGCAAGGAGGCACGTAGGAGGCTGAAATATGGCCTAGGTTTTAGTGCAAGTTTGTATTTATAGTCAGTTTACACTTAATCGCACTGTATTAGCGCTAATTGCTACGCTTAGCATTTTAATTCCAAACTTAGGATTCTGAACCTACTCATTTTTCTAAGATTTATCATATTTTTATTTTATTTTTCGCAGCACCTTTTCGGTACACGCTTTTACATAGCCAGTATCAGTTCTGGCACCAGTTCTCATTATTTTGACTTGAAACTTGAAATCACATTCCTACATATTATTCTAGAAATATTCATGCACTTATTATAATTTTCCAGGATACTTCATCGGTACGCATTTATACCGAGTAGCATAACCGGTATCTACACTTTTCGTCAGAAAAGAGACTTTCAACAATATTAATCACTTACCAAAATTATTTAAGTATTCTCATAATTATTAGGGTCAATTATGAAATTATTTCTTAATTTCTCATAATTAATTAATTAACTTCCTTAATTAACGGTGCAGGTTCTTACACTGGCGATCCAATGTATACACACGGCTAGTGGCTAGTGGCACAACAGGTGCTGCTGTAGGTGCAGTAGGAATCATCTGCAATGGAACCGCTTGAACCGCTGCAGATCTAGCAGCTGAAGAAGGACAATCTCTAGCATAGTGGCCCTCCTTGCCACAATGAAAATAGATCACCTGGCCGGTAGCACACGGCCCCACATAGAATCTCCCACATCCGGTACACCTGGGAGTAGGAGGTCTAGTCGCACTCCCCTGAGCCGAAGTCCTCTTGAACTGATTTGGCGCCTGCCTAGCAGCTAACTGCTTTCTTTTACCTTTTCCATCAAACTTCTTGTCTCTCCAAGAAGTGGAACTATCAGTGCCCTTAACATTAGATATCTTGGCCTTTTTGGCCTTGCTCACCACACAAACGTCCTCAATATCACGGCACAGCTGAACCAAGGTGCCAAAGTCTCTGAATGCAGCTCCAGCAATCCTGTCTGCAATCTCCTCATTAAGTCCCCGACGAAACTTAGAAGCCAAGAATGCCGGTGTAGGCATAGCAATCCTGAAGTGTGCAAATTTGGCCAGTTCATTGAACTTAGCCAAGTACTCATCAACTGTCATCGAGCCCTGCACCAACCGCTCGAACTCCCCTTGCTTCCTCTCCTGAGTATCATACGGAAAATACCTCCCCAGAAAACACTCCTCAAAGAATGGCCATGTGATAATATGACCCTGTATCTCAGAGACCTGAGAGGTGTTCATCCACCACTCGTGAGCGTTTCCCTCTAGCATATAAGTGGCAAACATAAGGTTCTGGGAATCACTACACTGGATCACCCTGAATATCTTGTCCAGGGCCTGAAGCCATCTCGCAGCAACTATCGGATCATAGGATCCATCAAAAGAAGGTGGCTTATGCTTACAGAAAGCATTCAGCCGACGGTATCACGTCTCCTGGTCCTACACTAGCTCATAAAAGGGTTGCATCATCCCTATGAGGTGACTCACACCCTCCATGCAGCTCTGACTATCGTCCTCATGAACATGCGCCCCACCTCCTCCATGCCCATCCTAGTGACTGGGTGGAGGCCGTGGTGGTGGTGGTGGTGGTGGAGGTGGTGGCGGAGGATGCTGGCCACCAACATGGCCAGTTCTCATCTCCTCCAACATGACCCTCATCATGGTCATGTTCGCCAGCCGGTTCGCCTCAAGCACATCCTCAGTAGCTTTCTGGTTCGCCTCTCTCACGGCGTCTAACATCGCCTGGTTGGCCACTCTAATGGCCTCTTGGTCGGCTTGTTGAGCCGCCTGCATCTCAGCCAATGCATCCAGGACCGGATCAGGATGACCCTCTCTCTCTCGGTTCCTCCGTAGTAGTACCATGACTCTGCACAAGTTACACAAAGAATGAGTTGATCAGGCCCACACAATGTGGTCACGCATGCATCATCATAGTAAAACCCAAAAGAAACACAACAGAAAAAACACATAGCAAAGCATCCTAAGTTATTGCAATACATACAAGTTGTTTCCCTAGAAAGTGCTATGATACCATAAAATGTAACACCCCGTGTGCACCTGGCGTATTAAGCATACAAATGGTAATAGCGCAGCTAATTAAATGCGGAAGCTAACTTTTTCTTTTCAATTATGACGTCATCATTAATAACCAAGTTGATTACTTATTTTTTTTTCAAAATATAGCATGTATGTAAATTGCAATAAAGAACTAACTAAATAACCTCATGATATAAGTGTGTATCTAGTCACGGAACTACAACACGTAGTCTGGACAATACCCTGATACAATTATACAACTTAAGTCTAAATAACATGACAAATGTCAATGTGGCATGGACAACCCTCATGCTCACCAAATAAGACAACGAAACCAACAAAGTTTCAAACCAAATAATCATATACTGAAATAAAACATAATCACTAATCAGACATATAAGCAATCAACATGCATAATCAACTCAGCTCCGACCTCCTCCCGCAAGAGGTATCAACCCCGGAGGTACCTGTACCTGAAAATGTTCCCCAACACGAGGTGAGATCTCTAAAAAGAAATCTCAGTAAGACAAGGGGTTCTCAAGAATCTCTCTACCCCAAGCTCACTTACATGTGTAATATAAGTTCCACAACAATAAAATAATATAAGTTCCAAAATTTGTGCAATGCAGCATATATCCATGACATGTGTGTAATAATCCTACTGGCCAGAGATTAGAAATGTAGGGATTACATACGTCTATAACCTACAGTACAAGGAACACCGCTTGTACCTCACCCACGGAATGCCATCTTGTATGTCTCCACATACTCAGGATTACCGTCTAGGTGGTACACCACATACATATCATAAGGCACTTGCACTTAATAAAACAACTCAATAGCATTTTAAATATTCATCACATAATTTCATAAAACACATCATGCATATAAACCATCATGGTGGAACCAATAATGGGCAAAATCGAGGACACGAAAGCTTACCTCTCAAGCTATCAATCCAAAAATGAGTCCACACCAGCCCTACATCACCAAACAGTCCACTCACAGTCTGTTTATAACAGAAACATTATCAACATTCAACCTCTAGAAGTTCATTACATTATGATAATATTTCCTTTTTCGTTTACATCCTTTCTGGTTCATAATTATTAAGCATTAAGCATTAAGCATCATAATTAAAGGTATTAATGTTTCCCAACAGTAATACTGACTTCCTAGGGCATCATGCCCAAATGGGAACTTTCCCACGCATTAAAACTAATTTCTGGTCATTCTGACAGTGGGTAATTGATTACCAAACAATGGGTAATCAATTACTCAACATGGTAACCGATTACCAACGAAAGGTAATCGATTACCACGCGAACAGAACATAATTCTGCAGAATTTTTCTGCATAATCCGCGACCCACAAGCTTTCCTATGGTCCAAGGTCTAGTTTTTCACAAAATAGATGTTCAAAAACACTTAACATGCATAGATTAACAACTCTTAACTTGATTAATCAAAGTTTCCTCTTTTAGTGACTTAAACAAACTAAAATCATGGATTTCAAAGGGAATGATCATGGTATACCTATGGGCTCAAGAACTCAGAAACAAGGAGGTGATTTGGGGCCTTAAATACCCCTCCACACTACTGCCAATGTAGAGCCACGAAATTGATCACCAAGCTAGGTCCTTTTCCTTCAAAGGTGGCTTTTTGAAGTCACAAATGCTAAGAAAATGGCTTCCTCCACACAAACCCAAGAAGTCAGCACCCATACTCTCCCAAACAGAAGCTGTAACTCAGAAATGACTAGCCTTTCAACCACACAATACTAGCATACACCAAAATATGGTGTTTTGGTGAAGGAACAATGAAGAAAGATGGTTCCTTGGTTGAGTTTCATGAAGAAAAAGGCTATGAAGTAAGGTGGAGAGGGTGGCAGCCAAGAGGATCAGAAAACCCACGTACGAAGTGTGAAAATTCGGACCTAGAAATGTGTGCCCTTGTATTTATAGTTCACTTAAGTTTAACCCGTCTGCATTAATTTTAATAGCTACGCTTATCATTTTAATCTCAAACTTCATATTCTGAACCTAGCCATTTTTCTAGGATTTGTTATATTTTTATTATAATTTTTCGCAACACTTTTCTGGTACGCGTTTACACGCAGTCGGTATAAGTTCTGACACCAATACTCATTATTATGATTTCAAACTTGATATTCCAGTCCTAAGTATTATTATAGGAATATTCATACACTTATTAAAAATTTTCGGGATACTTCACCGGTACGCACTTATAGCGTGAAGCAAAATCGGTATCTGCACTTTTCGTCAGAAAAGCAACTTTCAGCATTATTAAGGCCTTATAATAATTATTTAAGTCTTCTCATAATTATTTAAGGTCAATTATGGATTTATTTCCTAAACTCATAATTATTTATTTAAATTCTTAATTTAGCGGTGTGGGTTCTTACATTATAGGTGCTTGAAAAACTTACAAGTTCCAAACTTCATGTGTTTGGAAACCTTTACACTTTTGGGCCTCACTACCCTCAATTCGAAAATTCAATGGAAGAGGTGTCAAAATAAGGATTTTCACTCCCAAAATATGGATACTGAATAGTACAATTGATCAAGAAATAAGCTTAAAAACAAAGAAATGATCTTAAACAAAGAAATGAGCTTAAAAACTTCAAATGATCAAGAATGAGTTATGCAAGTGTAGGAGTAATAAAATCTATCAAGGAAGGTTGAAATAATGATTCAAAAGTGTCCAATATTAGTTGGAGGCGTGGTCAATAAGTATATATAAGTTTTGGACTAAAACTATTTGTTTATAATCGTTATAACTGTTATATGCATACTGGCTAGTAAAGATTCAAATCCTTTTCGATAGGGATTCGAATCCCTACTTTCTGGGAAGGAGGATTTGAATCCTCTACAAGAGGGTTTCGAATTCCTTCATCTAACTATGAAAGATTCTAATGCCTACCAAGGAAGGATTCTAATCCTTTCTTAACAATAGCAAATTATAGATTCCAAAATTACCTGCTTTTGTTTCTAATGACTTCCAACTAGGGGTATCCGCGGTCTAGATTGGATCGACTTTGAAGCAAAAATATCCGATCCAATCCCTTAGATTTGATCATTTAATCATCCATTCAGTTTGGATTTTTTTCAAATATGATCCAATCTAATTCAATTTTATTCGGTTTGGATTGTTTTGGTTTTTGGTTTTTAAAAAAGACTAAAATTTTAGCCATAAAAATCACTAGCTATATCAAAATGAAGCCATAAAAAGTTACAAACCACTGAAAAATTCAAGTCTTCAAATTAAAACAAGACTTAAAACTCATTAAGAGTTAAAATAGGGTAATAAATAATAAAAACCTAAAACAAGGTAGTTGCTATCAATAACATCCAAGATTCCAAGTCTACAAAATAACAAGATTCTAAGTCACCATCTTTCTCTTCCATACTTCACTCTTTCAGCTTGATCAATTCTCACTCTATGGTCTTCAAAACAACCAATAAGACAAAAATTTCTATGAAAATAAGAGATTAAGAGAGGGTTCAAGCAACAATAAATTTAAAATAAATATATGAACAATTGAAATTAAAAAATAGTAACGTATGTCATCAACTCTAGGGTTTGAAACTAAGAGAATAACCGAGTAAGGGTTACTGAATTAGAGAAAGTGGCATTAACGGAATTTCAAATTAATGAATACACAATACGTTTTTTTCGATTGGATCCAATCCAATTAAAGTATTTTTTTAAAGTATACCAACCAAACCTAAAATCGATCCAATCCAATTAAAGTATACGTTTTTTTCGTTCAGATATTGCAATTTGAATTGGTTTGGATCAGTTGATGAATACCCCTACTTCCAAACATCTCAAATGCATAATCTTGACTGAGAAAATATTTGAAAGTTATAAAACTTGTCAAGAATTTTTTAATGGGTTTTTCAAATCATTTTCAAGAATTTAAAAGCTATGAATCATGCAATTTGAAAAACATGGTTACTTTGGGAAACACTTTGAGATTATGCAATGCAATCTATCATATACCTTTACAATCATATCTTAGCCCTAAAACTTTATTATAATACGAAATTGGACTTATCTTCTTGCTTTCAATCTTTGATCTTTATTCTTCACTTGAGCTTCATGCTTTGACTTGTACGGAAATAGTTTATACTATGTTGGACTTGATAAATACATTTTTTTTACCATGATTTGTGACATTAAGCTTCTATTGGATGTTGTCTCTTGACTCCTTACTACCTTCAAAGCTTATACATGTTGTTTCAACTTTGATATGTCATTAATCTCTTTGTTAGGCTCCATCATCCATCTTCGTACATGGTTAATGTTTTTTTGCTTTTGATCAAGTTTGTTATCTTTTTATTCTTGTCATTTTATTATCATCAAAACATATCTTGTATCTATAAAATTCAATAGATTTATTTGAAATTTATGAAATTATTATTTTTTCATTATTGATCACCATAACTCGAAAAAAGAAAAATAATAGAAGAAAATAAATAATGAAGAATCTTAGGTGTATATGAATTTTGAACCCTCCCCTCATTATTTTTTTGTTTAATGCAAATTATAACATAAAATAAATATGGGATGAACTAATAATAATTTATCATGCAAAATCTCCCTTTGAGGGGAACATTCTCTTGGTGACATTCTCAGCATTTTCAACCAAAGAAGATAAAATTATTAGTCATATAGATAAAGGATGAAATTTATGAATACAAATTTAGAATAAAAACATAATTGATAAATAAATATTAGGACTATGAAAAAGTTATGAGTTTTACTTTTCATCTGTCACATAAGACAGATCCATTTCCTGCA